GGGAGACTTCAAAGAGCCATTCAAGGAACTGGGTTGCTCTGAGGGAACATTTGCACAAAACTTAAGTACATGTGGCCACACTACGTTTCTTCGCTCTGGCCCGGAAACTTTGTCGCAGTGAAAAGGGAACTTGGGCGCCCTCCATTCGCCGCCCGAGGCCCCCAGCAGCGAGGTGGCCGTTATCCCCTAGCGCTCTGCGCGGCCGCGGGGAGCGATGTACCCCAAGTTCCAGGCCGCGGTCCCCCTAAACCATCTCCTGGCGGAGCTCTGCGGCCCTCAAGTTGTCTCTGGGGGACTCATGGGGAGGGGGGTCCAATGCGCGCGGCCGTCTGGTTTAGAGGCCACAGCAGTGAGCCTGGAGAAAGGACGGATTCATTCCTATCCTGAGGGGCATAATTTGGGTGGCAGCTGTTGCTAGCGAGAGGAGCCGGCGTCCCAGACCCAGGTTTTGCCCTTTAACCCCAGCCTACATCGGCCGGAGGGGCAGACTAGCCCGGCCAGGCCTGCGCCCACTGCTGTCTGGCGGCCCCTCGGGCTGCGCTTGGCACAGTTCTCCCGCAGCATCGAGGTCCAGCAGATCCGAGGTCCCTTGGAAAAAAAAAAAAAGTCACTGTACTCATTGACAAGTCCCGAGGGGCTCCACACTTTCCGCCAAGGAACCTAAGCCCCTAGGCGTTGACCCTTGACAAGAATAGTAGGGTGGGTCGGGGAGTTACTCGAGGTTTATAAAGATTTCTAAAGAGAAGGCCGGGGTTAGTTAGGTGGTTAGTTTTTGCAGGAGCCCAAATTATTCATAAAACCTGCATATAACAGAAAATTGGTGAGTTGAAACTGGGTAGTAAGTTTCATCTCTACAAATTTCTCTTCCACTCTCCCTTTTTCTTTGGACGACTCGTATCTTGGCTTTTACAGCGGCCTCCATCCCTTTTCCATTGCCCAGACGCCTAGCATTTCTTACCCCGCCCCTTTCTACCCAATAGGGAGGATCAAGCCAGACCCCTGGTGGTCTCGGTGCCATAGTCAACACAATCCAGAGGCGGGGGTTTCAAGTTCTCCTCCCCTAAATCAACCATCCCAGTCCCTTGGCTCCAAGGCTGTTCAGAGAAAGAGGAAGCATCAGTTTTCAAAGAAAATCTCCGCAGTAGAGACGCGGGCTTCCTTAGCGCGATGCGGCCCGCGCAGGTTGGTGCAGCGGTTTGCACCCGCGGTCAGGCGGAGGCACAGACACTGCCCTTTCTCAAGAGAGCTGCATTTTCTGAAAGTGAGGGCTTCCTGTCAACCTAGGCAAACGAGTTGCAAGGCGCTGTGTCCTCTAGTGGCAAACTATTGCAGTTCATTTGTGAGCGCTCACCTACACCTGAGGGATCTGGTCCGGAGTCAATTCACCCTCAAATTTGAGTCCTAAATGCGGGAAACGTCTCCCGAATGTAATCCAGGCTTTCGCAAAGGCCCTCTCCGTAATGAGGCCGGGAGACGCGGGCGCAGTCGCTTCAACTACGGGAACAGCTGATTGTCTCTTCCACGGCAGATGGTCTTTGAGCACAGATTTGCATTCATTGTCTTCAAATCTGTTTTCGCACTGGTGTTCTAGATTTCAGCAGCAGATCTATGCAGAGATCAGAATACAAAAGGAGAAGCAAGAAAATAACACCCAGCCAGGAGGATTTTTAATAGGCACCGCGAGCTGCCCCGCGTAGTTAAAAAGCCGTCTAGGGTTTCAGCTGTTTGGCTGAGCTGCAGCCGGCTCTAGGCCACCAGCCTGCGGCGAACACCTCGGCGACCACGCGCCACCGGGAAAGTTTACGCGACTCCCGCACTGGGCCCCTCGGACTCCGCTGCCTGCTCTCCCGGGGTTCGGGAACTTAGGTGGGGGGAGGGGCGGCTCCGGGGAAAACACCCCTACCGCTCTTGCACTCAACTGATCCGGATCTGTCAGTCAGCAAGCTCTCCTCTGCACGGGTGCCACTCCCGCTCACGTCCGCCCGCTTGCAAAGGGGTATGTATTTTCCTTAGCTCCTTGACCGGTTTTCCCCTCATTCTGTTTATTTGAACAGCACTTGAGGCTCGTTCGTTCCCCCCCACTCATATCCTCTCTGCTTTCATTCATATGTCCTCACTCTCAACAACTTACAAACTGCACACAAAATCTGAGCGTCACCTTGTAGCTCCGGGAGACTTCAAAGAGCCATTCAAGGAACTGGGTTGCTCTGAGGGAACATTTGCACAAAACTTAAGTACATGTGGCCACACTACATTTCTTCGCTACCTTGTCTATATGCACATAGATTAATCCCCGGGAATGAATACACCTCTTGGCAGCCTACAAAAACCAGCATGTAGAGGCAAAACAACGGAAACTTCGCGCTCCCGCCCGCCAAACAGAGCTGGTGCTTTCCTAGCCCGCAGCGCTCTGCCACCCCGCGTCAATACAGGGTTTGGGGGGCTCCTTTCGTGTGCACGCATAGTGGATTCAGAAAAGGACTAGACGCCCACAGTTTTCTGTCCCCTTTCACCTCTCAGACTCGGGGCAACTCTGAGCTTAGCGCGCGTCGCTTGAGGACGTCGGCCCAGCTTGCCCGGCGCCGGCCAATCCGGAGCGTTCATGCAAATGAGGCTCTTTATCGGGCCGCGGCTCCGCCTCCCGCGGCCTGGGCCGTAGTAACCCATTCATGGGGCTCGCGCACGGCTGCAGCCCGGCTCCTTGGCGTTCTCAGCCACCGCCTCCTTTCGACTCTGGGTCTTCCTCTTCCTTCTACAACTGATCCTGTTGGGGATTTTTTCCCCCCCCACTAAATTGGAGCGGAGGGGAAGAACAGGGAGGGGAGATCAGGAGGAAGGAGAGAGATTAGGCAGCCATCAATCTTCTCCTGTTTCTTCCCGAACAGGTGATGCGTCCAAATTGTGATCTGTTTCTGGGAGCAACGCTGCCACTGGAAGGATGCGAGCGACCTAGGGGAGAGCGGCTGAGGCGGCAGATCTGAACTTGGGAAGGATAAAAACCAACTTTGACTACATCAGTTTGCCACCTCGCGCGTGAAGCAAAGGACCCGTTATCTTTTTTTTTTTTTTTTTCCTTCCCAAGAAAGACTCAAACTTAAGCACTTGATCCCTTTTCTTGGATTGCTTTGGAGGAAGACTGTTTGGTGCCAGCGTTGGGAACAGTCAGGACTGTTTTGTTGGACTCTTATTTTTAAAGCGACAGTAGAGGATCAGACTTTTTAAATGTTTGGGATTCAAGATACTTTAGGAAGAGGACCAGCTCTGAAAGAGAAATCACTGGGCGCCGAGATGGATTCGGTCAGGTCCTGGGTCCGGAATGTCGGCGTGGTGGATGCCAATGTCGCGGCGCAGAGGTAACGAGAGGGCCTTACAATTATGCTCCTAAAGTGTCTCTCTCTCTCGCTCCCACTCTTTCTCACCCTGTGTGTCCCCCCCCTTATCCTCCATCTCTTTCTGTCTCTCTGTCCCCATCTGTCGCCCTGGCCTCGCGCACTGGGGTTCGCCCTCCGGCAAGCAGGGTCGCTACAGTCAGGGGAACACTTGCCCTGTAGCCAACACTTGAGTTTCTGAACTGCTTGGGTTGTTTGTGTTTCTACTCCCACAGACTAGAAAACTAACAAATAACTAACATCCAACGTCACGCAGCTCAGTCCCTAGTCCTCCGAGTCGGGCCAGGCGGTCAGCGCAGCAAGCGTGAGCACAGGAGCTAGGAGCAGCCGCCGCGGGAGGAGAGCCGGCTTCCGGGAGTCTGCTGGGTTTCACCACTCCGCTTGTGAGCGCCTCTCCTCCCGCATCTCGCCGGGCGATTCCTGGAGGCCAGGAGCCCTGCGGCCAGATGGTGGTGGGGGCGGTGGCGCGGGAGCGGGAGAAGCCGGAGCTGCTGATGGAAACTGGGCATTGCGGGCGACAGGCTCGGAAGGTCGGAGCTCAGTAGTCGAACGGTAGGCCAAACGCTAGAGGATGAGGAGGGAGAAAGAATGGATTAAAGAGAAAAGACGAAGAAGTCGCTGTTGAAGAGAGACGAGAAGAGGCAGTCGCCAGAAAGTCCTAGGAACCACCGTCCTCTAGAGTTGCGGGTCTTTAAAGTTGACTTCTTTCTAGAGCATCCGCCTGATGGGAAACACCTTTTCCTGGGGGCCACTCCACAAAGACATTCCGTATCCCCCCTCCCTATCATCCCCATTGAGCCAGGACGTGTGGCCTCCAAGTCCTTCTCTGTGAAAGGCAGTTTCCTTTCCCAAACAGACCACCTCCCTACGACGCTCCCAGCATCATACAGAGAAATGATCCTTTTCTCAGGCCACATCTCCCGGGTAGAGTGAACCAGCTCCCGTTATTTGAGGAGAGGAAGCAGAAGTCGAATCGCTCGCGGAGTCAGGGCCGAGCCGGAGTTGCGCCCGGATCCTTCGGGCAGAGCACCCACCGCACAAGAGGCTTTCGGCGTTCTGTCTTGGGGACTTTGGGCTGCGGGCAGAGTCGCCTACTAGGCGCATTTCCTTAGCAGGGCTCCTTAAAGACGCCACCCTTCCTCCCTTCCCCGGATTGAATAGTTTGCTAAATTGCAACAGACAGCTGGGCAGGGGGTGTTCTACCTTAAATGTTACTTGTGCCCGGCAAAAGAGTGAAAGTGCTCCAACTCCTGGGCACTCGGCCGGGAGACTACAGCGTCACCGGGCAGCTCCCGCCGTCCGCGCGGTTGCCTAGGCCGGAATCTTTGATTAAATGTAGTCCAGAGGTCAGTTTAGCCCTAGCAGCTGCGGGTCTGCGGGGAGGTGTGGGCTACCCTGGATGACCTCGAGGGCGCCTCCCTGGTCCCCTAACTTCGGTTTCGCGGTCAGCTGGTTTGGCCGGGGCAGCCGGGAGACACTGCTTGAGGGGGATCCCTCGGCCGGCCTGCCGTAGGTAGGCAAGGAAACTCTCTGCCTTTTTTAAACTTTTTGGCTTCACCAAGCCCACCAGCGCCCGTAGGGGGGTTCCCTCAGCATTACACCTTCCTCAGTGACCCACAGTGTGCTGTGCTGGTCGCCGGGATTCCGACAGGCAGCTGTTTGGGGCACTATTTTTCGGAAGAGCGAGGGAAGAGGGGGTGAGGCCTCCTCATCTCCCATAGAGTGAGATTTGGGCTCTCTCTGGGCTTCCCGCTTCCATCGGGAGTTCTTACCCACCGCCTTTCCTAGTTAATGTGTGTGTGGCGGGCCCACTGTGGATAGTGGCGCCTTCCTTGAGGCAAAAGGGTCACTTCAAAAGCTAACGAGGGGCTTATTCCCCTCAACCTCCGGTACCATCTTTGGGTACCTAGCCAGCGACCTACCTGAGAGAGGTGGCAGGCAGGGCCCGACGGAGCAGATGCAGAACCACTTGAAGCCCCCAAAAGCACTCAAAGTCTCTGTGCTCAGCCCCTGTCCTTGAATCTCCACTAATCGCCGGACAGTGAACGGCTTGGCACCGGGAGGCTGGACCATAGGGTGGTAGCACCAAGCAGCAGGAGGCGTTGGCCACCAGACCCCCAGGGCCACTGCGACTTCTCTTAGGAGTCCCCCTTCTTAACGTGACTTGTGAAAAGGCCCAAGGGGCTCAGGACTTTGGACCCAGGATATGGACTTTTGCACCTCTGCAATGTTGTGCGCGCTTGCCTTGGTAACTTCGTGTCTTTCTCTTTCCCGGTGCCGGGCGTCCCCGTCCCCGTGTCTCTTCCTGCGCAGCGGGGTCGCCCTGTCTCGGGCCCACTTTGAGAAGCAGCCACCCTCCAACTTGAGGAAATCGAACTTCTTTCACTTCGTGCTGGCGCTCTACGACAGGCAGGGCCAGCCAGTGGAGATCGAGCGCACCGCTTTCGTGGACTTTGTGGAGAACGACAAAGTAAGCAAAGGTTTTCCCCTTTCTGCGTCCTAATAACTCCTTCCTTGCAGAGCACTAAAGATTCCATCTGTCACTCCCGACACTTCTCCGCTCACATCATCAGCAATGATAAATCGAGACTTCTCACCCCCAGCCTCTAAATCACTCGGTTTCCCCCGCACCTCCTTCTGCCCCCACTCCCGCGCCCCGCACTGCAGGGAGCGCTCTGTGCTCTGCTCTTAGACCCTTCTGGTCATTAGTGCCTGGACGCGGAGCAAATGCCCTTCTAACTACAGCATAGTTTATAAAAGTATATCCAAGGCATTGCGGCCGTTCTTGGGGTTTTTATTATTTTGCACCTGCCAGCTCCAGCGGGCCATGTGGATTGAGTCTGTATCAGGTGGAAACCCGCAGCCCAGCTTCAGCCCGCTTTCCCCGGCAGATCTTCCCTTCCACTCTAACTTCCTAAATTAGCTCCTGCTCCTAACCCAGTCCCTAATTTTGGGACTTGATTTGATTTCAACCTATACCTAAATGTGACCAAGGAAAAGTTCTTTGTCCTCTCTGGGCCCCAGTCTCCTCAGCTGTACAAGGGAAACTTTAGAGCAGAGCTTTGCAAGGTTCCTTCCCCCGGGCTCTTCTTGAACTCTGGGACTCGGTCCCTGAGCTCGTGGCCCTGGCGGGCTTGAGTCTTCGTGGGATAAGGGCCTAATGCTATCCCTCCAAATGTTAAATCTCTTCACTTTTCTGCCAAACGGTATCTTGGAGGACAGACTAGGGTTGGATGGTTTCGGTGGGGGCCTATTTAAAGGCAGCATTGGTGATGTCTTCCGGACTCGAGTGGCACTTCTGAGGACATTTTTGAGGAAGAAGGGCTGATCACTGGGGAGTCAAGTGGCCCAGAACCCTGGTAAATTTTCGAAGTCGGCCGGCAGCGGGCAATGGCTCTTCTCCTTTGACCCCGGGGCTGGGCAGGGTGTTATTCAGAACTGTCTTTTGAGGGGAAGAAAAGTGGCAGGAGACAGTGTGGAAACACGCTCATTTTGGGGGACTGGAAAGAGAGGGAACCGAAAATTGCATGTCTTTTCAGGAACAAGGCAACGAGAAGACCAACAACGGCACCCACTACAAGTTACAGCTTCTCTACAGCAATGGTGAGCGCCCTGCGTGGACCTGCACCTGATAGTGGGCTGCGGGATCCGCAGTATTTTTCAGTTTCAAGGAAAGCAGTTGACCTTGAGGAGATCGCTTGGGGGTGGCCTCAAGGGTAGACCTGGTCAGGGCCGATGGTGGAGGGAGGAGGTTGGTCTCTGCCCCTTGGATGGATGGGCTCAGCCCTGATGCCCACAGGTGGGAGAGGCTATCGGGGCCTTGGCCTCACGGCGGAGACAGGTTTGGGGTGCCCGGGAGGCGCTCTGCAGCCCCTGACTCATGAACGCCCCTCTTCCTTGCAGGCGTCCGCACGGAACAGGACCTTTACGTTAGGCTCATCGACTCGGTCACCAAGCAGGTGAGGTCGCCGGTGACTCTGCTCTTCCTCAGGCGCGACGCCCACCGCCCATTTCTGCCCAATCTCTGTCCCCACCCCCCTACCACCCATGATTTCCTGGGTCAGGCTTTACACACCCCTCCTTAGCAACTTATACCTTGCCACTCTGGAAAATGTATGATCTCGTTTCTATCCGACTGGAGAGATGCTGGGGGCGGCGGAAGGTGAGCAAAGTATGAAGAAGAGGAAGCGATACCTGGGAAATTCAACTCCCTCCAACATTCCCTTTTGCTAAGAAATATTTTCTCACCGAGGAACAACTTTTCTATTATTATTTCTCTTTAATTAACCGGGCAACTGCTCAGGTTCCATGCTGCACCCAGGAACTCATAATGAGGGCGAGGTAATGAAAGGAAAGACGATTGTGTTTGCTCTAAAGTTGTGTCTTTCTTTGTCCCTTCACCCCCTTCCTTATTTTCCCTCCCCCGACCCCCTCTCCACCCCCCACAGCCCATAGCCTACGAGGGACAGAATAAGAATCCGGAAATGTGCCGAGTGCTCCTTACGCACGAAGTGATGTGCAGGTAAGAGCCGTCTTGTCCTCCGGGCTTTGCTGAAAAAACCAGACCTGTAAGTGGCGCCTGCCGGCAGGCGGCCGCTTGCTGCACTTACCTTTAGGAGGGGGTAGAGGGAGGCCACGCGGGCGGACTTGCCGGGAGCCTAATTCGCTAGAACTCTCCTCCCTTTAGGCAGTGTTTCTAGGGCATATCCTCTAGGACGCGCAAAGTAAACCCAGGATTGCAGGTGTTTTCCTTGCCCATCTGAAAAGCCTCCGCTGTCCTTGTGTTGGCTGCAGCGTTCAGGGCTCGGCAGCTCCGGGCTGGGTTTGGGATTCGGGACTTTCCCTATAAAACCATCTTGGAGCCAGGCCCACAGCTGCTCGGTTTCCATCTAACCTGCCCGCTAGAGGTAGATTTCCTTTTTAGGCCACTTGTGGAGTTGAAGTACTAGAAGGACAGGCAGTCTGGGCGAGGGACCCTCAGAGAGTCGAGTTGCCCATTTCAGGGAACTTTCCCCCACAGAGGCATCTGTACGTGATGCTGGGCTATTTCCTTACTTCAGGGAAGGAGCCTCTCCTACGACTTTACGCACCAGGGGAGTCAGGCACAACCGCTGGGTGAAAAGATCAGTAAGGTTCCCCAGCGGTGGGTGGGAGGGGCAGGAGAGGATCCTATCCGGGAAATCTGGGTTCTGGAGCAAAGGATGAATCTTAATGGACAACTTGTGAAAGGTGCAGTCTACTCTCCTTTCTCTACCTCTTCCCATCTTCCCAATAGATCATTTAAGATCTATTCCATTTTCAATCCTGCAGATTGTCTCCTTTCTGCTGCTTGACTAGAAGAAAATCAAAACGAGAAATGCACCCACACTCTTATTCATTCTTTCAAATATTTATTGAGTGTGCCATGTGTGCTAGGTATTGGGCTAGATCTTGGGGATCCCACTGAGAATGAGAAAGGATATAAAAAAGAAACTCTTGGAAGAATGTGGATTTTTTGTTACTGTTGTTGTTCCTGCAAAAATTAAAATGTCTATTTCCTGTACCTTTTTTCCTTCTCTAAAATCTCTTACTGGAGGGAGAGCCTCAGTTCTCCCTTATTCCACTGTTACCTCGGTGAATGTCTTCCAACTCCAGACTTGATAGTCTAGTGTAATTGCAGCCAGTCTGATTTAGTACAGACTGTTTTATGGGCAGCTCCTGGCAGCCTTGTCCCCCTCCCCAACCTAGCCAGAAAGAAACCATAACAATCAGACATGTTTGTTTTGATTTTGACCAAGTATTAGAAAAACAAACTCGCCAAATGCAAAGTTCAACTCTGCCAGTGGCCTCAGCTGAGGGCAATCCAAGCTTCATTGACTGAGTGGCTGGGGTGAGGTGTTGGGCAGTGGAGTTATCCCGGGGACACTGAGTGGTACCCCTTGATAGGTTAGTTCAGAAAGAAATAGAATTTCAAGTTGTACTTCTATGTAATTCCTAGACTTAATAGACAGAATGCTTTGATTTGCTTGGGTAATCAAAAAGTAATTTTTCCTCCTCTCAACACTTTTAAATGTCTTTGTTTGGAGTGATTACCTTCTTGAAAGAAAAGAGCACAAAAGAAAACACAGCAGACAAAAAAATAATAATAAAAAATTTGGCCCATTGTCTGACAAATTATACCTATCACTTTAAGTAATACTTGCACACCCCATGCAGCTGTAGTTAAGGCTGACATTTTATTTTTAAGCTCAATCAAATCCTCCTCATTTTATGCTGTTTAAGTAGCAGCATCAATTTTTAAACCCTCTAGTTTAGTTTGCATTAGTAACACAATATAAAAATTTAATGTACTGTAACTTCTCTGCATTTGAGACCTGGGAAAGTGCTTTGCTATTTCTTTCCCAAACTAGAATTGAAAACAAATATTAATTATGGGTAAATAAATGATCCATTGGATGGGTACTGTATCTGCAGTATGTGTGTGTGTTGTGGGAGATGAAGTGGAGCGGTAGCAAATACTGGATGTAACTAAAAGGCAAGTTCTCATTCAATCTGTCAGTTAGAGCTGGTTGATTCTCCAGTAAGGGGAAAAAAGTTCCTTTTCCCACATTTTCCCAGCCAGTTGGAGCAGTCAGTGATTGAGGGGTGAATCTGATGCCCACTTCCTCAGTAGTCCTTACACATACTTAGTTTCATTTGCATGGTGTTCTTTGGCATACCTTGGCACTTCCCCAGTGGTTTTATGTTCTGTAATCTTTAGTAAAAGGCTCATAAATTGGTGTTTAGCTTCAAGAGGAGAACAAAGCAAAGTGATAAAATAAATCTCTTTAGGAATAACTTTTTTTTTTCCTTTCCCCAATTGTCTTTGCTTCTCTCTTTCCTGCTTTAGTTCACTTTGCCAATTATTAGTAAGGAGAAATCTAGTTGTTATGTCGCTGCCAGCCACCTCTGCGCCCTCAATGCTCAGAGGGTTAAAAGATATTATAATTTGAACAGAAGTCGTCTCAAGGCCTACAGCTGGCTAATAACAGAGTTGTATTGAGCGTGAGCAAACCCCACAGCTGTGACTTTTCGCCACAAGGCGCAGGCTAGACAGGGCCCTAATCAGATGGGCCAGCCGGGCAGTGGGGCCAGTGTCTTTATCGGCCAGATGGTGTGAATTTAGACACTTTTGTTATGCAATCACAGGGAGGAGTTGGAGAGAAGAAAACAAAACAAAAGCCACCATGCTGTGCGCTTATTTGAGTTTGAAATTAGAGACAGATTTTTGAAAGTTGAGGGTTGAATTTTAAAAACCATTTTGGAGGGGAAAGGGACACGTTAGCTTGTCTTGAACAGGAGTTTAGCTGACTGGACACCCTGTGCCCATGGTCCATTTCCCTCTTTTCCCTTTACCATTCCTCATCCCTCTTCTTTTTTCCCCTTTCTGAGAAATGCAGGTAAGATTCAGGATTATAATAAAATTTCTCATACCCCAAACCCTCCTTTCCCTACACACACTTGTTTTATTCTCTCATTTTCCCTCTTCAAAGACTCCGTGTGGAGTTAGGGTGAATACAAGAGGCCTATATGCAAATTGAGAGTATTTCAGGTAAAAGGGTCTCCAAACAAGTAATAGAGTAAAATAAACCAAACCAAGCCAAACGGGAACAGCTTTCATTTTCATTCATTGGGAAAAAAGAGCACATCTGAGCCTCTCCATGGTAGTTAGGAACACAATCTTAACAATTGCCAAGTTGAGTTTCTTCTTCTCTTTGTTTTGTATTTATATATACTTTTCTTCTTTTCCTATTTTACAGTTATTTTCCGTTTTTAAAAACACTTGGCAGAAACTTCAGACTGAAGGACTTTCTTGTTAGAGAATAACCCTAAAATAAAGTCCTTTGACTACAGTAGTTGAATCTGAAGTTGGTTACTCAGGCTTTGTCTGTATGGCAGAGGGGAGGGAGAGTCTGTAATGTGAGTAATTCAGAGACCCAGTTCCTTACCATCAGCTATCCACATACCTGATCCCAGAGCAATAGTTCAGGAGTGTGGGTCCCTGAATGTCTTCAACTTTCCACTTCCCTTTTCTTGTGATAATATTGATGGCATGAGGATTGATTGTCATTTAATAAACAAAATGAACAACCAGGACATATTGTTGAGACTTTCTCTTTTAAAAAAGAGAGAAAAGAGAATTAGCTTTGTCTAACTCAGCGACCTAGAGAAATTTTAAGAAGCACCCAAATGGCATCAAACATAATTAAACTCTATTGTTTTCATAACTTTGCTATTATAATCCAACAGTCAAGTGAATGTGTTTTGCTTCTGTTCTGTGCTGAGTATTAACATTAGAGATTATATTTAAATATGTTACTATTGGAAAAACAGAAGATTGGGTCGTGAAGTTTCTCTGCATTTTTTCTTTGAATATCATTTTCTTCCCCAAGTTGATCCCCCACATCGTATAATACTGGCTCCAGGCTTCCATTTTTATCTGTTTTTCTTCTCCTCCAGAGGAAATCCCCATGGAAAGCAGCTGAATTCAGCTGAGTAATTTTGCAAACTTATTCCTCAGAATCATTCCTTCCCAAACTAAACTGAGTGGCATATTCTGACAGTTGTCCTGTTATCATTAAATTGAGCCTGGCATCACACACATATTTGGGATTAGATTGACATGCTGGTGATGTCCAAGGAGAATCTAACTGGAAGGTCTTTAGGTAACTAGCATGTATGGGTCTTTTGAATTTGTGTTGCTAATAAAAGAGTTTTGCCAGAGCTGCAGAGGAATGGTGTTGAAAGAAGCAGTACTCTAGAAATAGAAGAGGTGGGGGATGGAAATGAATGGGAGTGGGGAGTTGGGAAGAGAGACAAGGGCTGTGGGAGGTGGGAGAGCAGCTGGTTAGCATTTTTATTGGTGTTAATCTTGGGATGAATTGAAATTTTTAAAGTTAAAACCTAATGTACTTTCAAATATAAGGTATTATTTCAGAAAGTCTCAGTGGCTAATCTGGGTATTTAAGAAAATTGAGACAATTTTTCTTTACCTTCTACTAATTTGATTAAGTTTCTCAAAACCTCATTGCATCCATTTGGTGGACATTTCTAGCATCTCTCAAGTATATTTTACTTTCTAATGATAAAGTTATTCTCTGAATAAGCCACATATCACTGTATGAGAGACTTGGGCTTCACAAATTAAAGAATATTTATTAAAAATAATTCTGTGGAGGATCAGAGAGGCCAAGTGGACTGTAGAAAGCCACACAGCATATCTATGACTGAGTCACATGGATTTTCTATGACTGAGTCACATGGCTTTTCTCTTTCCCTTACCCTGCTATCACAATCATAGGGAACAAAGAGAATTTCAGCCTCATGGATTTCTTAAAACTAGAGGGATTCTAGAGATTTTCTAGTCCAAAGCTTTCATTTTTTTTATATAAGAGAGGCAAACCCAGAGAGTTAAATAGGTTTGACCAAATTCAAGCAGCTGGTTGGGTTAGACTTCAAAGCCCTGATTCCCAGCTCAGCAATCTTTCTATTGCACTGTGAAACTCTTGAGCTAGAGTGAGAACTATCTTGGGAAGAGCAGTATCATATTTAGTTTGGGTATTACTAATATTTGTTAGATATATTCTCCAACTAGTATGGACAGTAGTGTTTTTCTTATAAATCATTTCAAGGTTACATTCTTAATCAATTACAGTAGATAGTGGACTGTGTACTCGAGATGAGCTAAGAAGTATCCAGAAGTCTGTGGTCCTAACAAGCAGCAGACAGGCAAGATGGGAGGTGATTCCCTACCACCAAGCTTCCTTTGCCCTTTTCACAGTTGTCTAGGCTTTTTCACACAGATACCTTTGAATTGGAGTGTTTTGCTCTCTGCTCAGGCCCTTCTGAGTGTTTCCTTCCTGTTGTAATTACTCTAGGGTTCTTCATTTTCTTTTGCTCTCACAGAATTCCACCAACATTTATTGAGCGTCTACCAAGCACTCAGCATGTTTCTAGGTAGAATTTTTGGGAAGCAGAGTTTTTAAGAAGTTTACTTGCTGAGTTCTATTTCTGTTCCAGATTTGGTGAAAATTATTGCCAAGATCATCCTATACTTCTTGCCTCATTTTCTTGCATTTTAAAAATGTACATCATAGTTCTGGTGTCCCTCCTTTATCTTTTGACAATGATGGGACTCAATGAATAAATAATTGTTTATAAAGTACACTGAGTTCTCTGGAGAAAGATCTTACGTAAATAAGGTTTATAATAACCCAGGCAGCTACCTGTGGTCTATTTTATACATTTTCCTTTGCTCTCTTTCTTCAAATATTTGTTGAGACACAAAGACCTACAGTATACAGTCATAATAATCATTGAACACTGAACTGAAAGTGACCTTATAGATCTTAAAATTCAGCAGTCTATGGTTTAGGTTACAAATATGCGTCTTCAGAAAGTTGTGATTTGCTAAGAATCACCCAGCTTCTAAGTTACAGAAAATTTGAATGAATATCTTTTGACTCCAAGTTAAGTGTTTTCTTCTTTTTTTTTTAAAAAAAAATTTAATTAAAAGTCTTAATATGGCTGCAAATTCTATTAAGCAGCTTATGGTTGGGAGGCTACCTAGGATATATTCATTTTTGTGAATGTTCTTACATTGTCTGTTCATTGTATTTTCTAAATTCAATAAACTTATTTTACTCTTTGGTTCCTTTCCAATCTACAGTCGATGTTGTGAAAAGAAAAGTTGTGGAAACCGAAACGAGACTCCTTCAGACCCTGTCATCATTGACAGGTAGGGCAAATATGTGATTTTTCTCATTGTGGATTTCTTTCTTTCATGAATCTCAATCCTGAGTACTAATCACTCAGTGATTAGCACTGACCTTGGTGCTTTACTGTAAGGTTGGTTTCTTGTTATCCCGAAGCATTGAGCTAATCCAACATATGTTTCCTTTTCTGCTTGGCCTTTCTTGGAAGATGGCAGGGTCTTCCATTTTGAGTATATGCCTTGAAGTCTATGATGGGATTCTTTTCCAGGTGCATTAACTTCAGCTTAATGAGGAGCCTGTGACTAGGAAATAATGGTTGAGGATGCCATTTTCCTATCCAGCTCAATCTGTTTCCTGGGAGGGCTGAGGCGTCCCAAGTCATGCAGCAACCCCTTTACCCCTCTCAGTGACTGCTGCCGGCTTGAAGAGTGTCAGTTTTGATTGTAGGTTAGGGAATTATGACAAGCTCTCTATGGCATTGAGTGAGATTGCTTTCTACCATGAAGGGTTGCATTCTGGGTTCTCTGTTATATTCAGGGTGGGAAAGATTCTTTGAGACAAGACGTTAATTCACTGAAATGTGATTTAGGCATCCTCAGCTGTCTGTTTTTGTGATTGGAAACAGAACTTACAAACCAACTAAGAAATACCAAATTAACTTCCAGCAATCATGTAATTTTTAAGAAACCCCTTATTCCCACCCCTAATTTTTTCTCTTTCGTTAAAAAACAGAGTAATTCCCTATTGCTTCTTTCTTTGGGTTTTTGTGTTTTTAGCCAGATCCTGAAATGGATTGGAGAGACCACAGTCTCCAACGTTGTTATTCCAATATTCCAATGAATTCTCAGTTGGGAGAATGGAACCTCTGGCATTCTTCCCAGAACCTGGCCTTTTTTCTTCATGGATAGTATAGTATAGCCATAGGAATGAGGAGGCTGGAATTCTGATCCTGTTCTAGGCACTGACCTTGGACAAAGCCTCAATATCTCTGTTCTTCAATGGTGTAATAATGTGTTGGAGGGTACTGCCTGCTGCTGTAGGTTTGCTGAGGCTACTGAAATATCAGTGACAGGCTTGCAGTATTCTCTGAGATGCTTGGAGGATGATAGCCGAATAGAAAATATTTGTAATATGTCTGGTTTCTGTGTCATTTTTGGAGGAGAGCTCACTTTTAGGGAACTATTTGAAGTTTCTTCATTTTTTCTGAGATTGACAAGAACTCTTTGGGGTTAGCTGTCTTCCTCATTTTATAAATGAAAAACCTGAACTCTGGAATGGTGACATGATTTACCCAAGTTACACAGCTCATTGGGATACAGCTAGCACTAGAACATAGTTGTCCTGACTTTTCTCACTGCTATAGCATCATGTCCCCAAGCTTTCTTTCTATCCTAACTGCTATCAATTGGATCTGTTCATTGCATGTGGCATCATTTACCTCCCTCCAAAGATGTCCTGAGCATAAGAGGGTAGCCTAGATGGAGTTCCAGCTTTTTAGTCATTTCTAGTGTGTAGACTGAGCTCACTAATCTTTATTTAATCTTTTTCACTAACTTTAACTCCTCTTTCAAGAAAGTACTCTAACCTCAAGAATGTTACATCTTTTCTTGTAATAAACACTCCATAAACCCGCCTTAGAAATGTTTGCAAACCTGTAAATGCTAACCTGCACCTTACATCTCATAAGCACACATTGTAAGGACTCTGCACTGAGCAACAGTTCTTTAAAAAATGACTTGTAATCTGCATCCACAGATAATGATGAATATGGTTATGTTTTCTTCCTATGTGATAGACATGCACAAAAGAAAGTACAGTCTTTTTTGCATCTTTGGAGATAAAAGATTTTCATATTAAATGCTACAGTGCCTTAAATTAGTTTGTGCTAGAATGCTTTAAATTCTTCAGAGAAGGGGAGAATTGTATCATGGCTACATATTGTGAAGTTTTATGTGACTGTGGCACTTATTTTTACTATCCTATGTACAATAAAACGGCCCAGGGATGTCTCTGCATCACTTGAAATATGTGTTACTTCCGAAATGTTGCACGTCTACAGATGGAAATGTACATACCAAAGGGTACTGTAAATTGACCAGTATCAAGTTTTAAGAGAACCTGTTTTATTATAAACAGATGCATTTATTTAGCTTGCTTACTGTAGAGCTTTGTTTGACGATATTAGTCCCCCATTGAAACCTTGCCTTATTAGTAGCTCCTAAATGTCACTTGGGCTTATTTTGGCCTTCTTGCCTTCATTTGAAGAAGCAAAAAGGGGATGAAATCAGGTTTTTGTTAGCTGGAGGTGTGATGGGTGGTTTGTGTCATCTAGGGGTTTGGTTGAAATGTGCATCTAGTCCCTGGATTCAACATCTGCCAACTTGGAGGTGATAAGTTCTCCCACAAGCATCAAATAAGTGCAGAACAGTGTATTTTGGATTTCCTCTGAGTAAATACAGCACTCTCATCTTTGCCCTTGCTCCTATATAATGCCAACTAATTATCTCCTTCCCCTTCTCACCTAATCTAACCAGATGCAGTTAATTTACACTGTCAGTTTTTGAGTTTTTCACCCAACAGTCATGTTTCACTCTGGCTCAAACGAAGCCTGTTTGTTCATTTGTTCTTTCGGATGTGCATGTTGGAGGGGAGGCTGGAGGGTAGTTCCCAAACTTTTCATCACCAAGGACCCCTTTTGTTTTTTTCCTTAGTGAACCAAATGTTTTGCAAGATTTTGTCTGTCAAACTTCAATTAACAAGTCATAATTCAGCTTTAACTTTATTTTTATTAATCAGAGACATATAGAGAATGAGAAATAAAAACCTCATCCCAGCTTTGATGTCATCAAAGGCCAATCGAAAGTTTCCGAGCAGTATCAGGCAACCAGTGTTATCACACTGACTGCAAAAACATCCAGCTAAAAAACAACTTGACTTTTCAGTTAACCTATGTGACCACATCTTGGGCAGATATTCAGTTTCTAATATGCTGCTTGACAAACTAAGAATAGATTTTACTACCTTGTAGCTCCTTAATTGAAAACTTTTGGGTTCTACAATGGCGCATCCTCCATCAGTGACTTGGTTCTCCTTTTCTTAAGACTTAGTTTCCAATTAGAATTTTTTTTTTTCCTGCTAAATTGCTCCCTGACTTGATCTCTCTAGAAACACATTATTTTATTATTATTTTTTTTTATTTTCAGTTGTCCTTTCAGCATGCTTTTGTGAGTTCTTGGGCAGTCACACCCATCTCCACAAAGCCAGGCCAACTCGCAGCCCAGCAGGACTTACTGCTGAATTCCGGGGCCCCAGCAGAGTCTTCCTTCTGTGTAAATATGTGTATATGTATAGCTGGAGTAGGGTTTATTAATTTTTAGTGTAAAAATCCGAACTGTCTGAAAACCAAACCAAACCAAAAACAATCATATCTTTACTATGGTTTTCAGCCTAAATCTTGTCTATAAGTATCTATGTGGTAAATAAAAATGAAAAGGCTCAAGCTGATTTACATTTTGTGGTTTCTAATTCAACTTCATTTGTCATGGGCTGTGCTTTCTTTAAACACTTTTTTCTATCTAGAAGCTTCTTGTGAATATCCGCTTCAGTCTCTGGGGCTCAGAATGACCTGGTGGTCCATGGAGGAGTATTTTAGGGATGGTCTCACTGACTTGGGAGAAGGGAAGAAAGTCCTCTGGCTCCTGTCCTTTCAGCTTCATAAAAAGTCAGATGTTCACAAAAGGAAGATTTCCTTTTGAATCTTTGTAGGCTGCCCTTGCTTGTGTGCATACTGGTGGTGTGTTTTCTGTTAAAAGGGTAAGTCTAACCTATTTTTCACATGCTAAATATCCCAGTCTTGGGATGTTGATCTCACATATTTCTGAGCTCTGTTCCCAGAAGGACCATTTTAAGTGTTAGGTTGATGGGGTTTGTTTATTTTCTTTTTCCAGAAGTCAAACAAAAAGAATGGCCCTCATTCAAAAGATTTACTAAAAAATATCTAGTGTGTGATATCTAGCCTGTGAAGAATTTTCCTGTGTTACGCCATGCCCCTCACCCCCACTTTAAAAAGTTTTATCCTACCTCACCCTTAGTGGTATCCTCACTTGCTGCTCTCACCTGTGGTCAAGGTTCTTGTTTGTACTTCCTTTGTCATCTGGCATGGTTCTTTCCTGCCTCTATCTGATTTGATCCTCTGGGCCATTCATGCTAGTCGTCTACCAAGTTAATCACTTAACTCTATTGAAGTGTTATTTGTGGGATGGAAAATTTTATAGGATAATTGTGGAGAGTAAAGCACTTGCCATCTGCCAAGAAAGCTAGATACCACCCACCACCCACTGCCATCAAGTGGATTCCGACTTATAGTGACCCTACAGGACAGAGTAGAACTGCCCCATTGGGCTTCGAGGGCTGTAAATCTTTATTGAAGTAGACTGCTTCATATTTTCTCTGTGGTGAAACTGGAGGGTTAGAACCACTGACCTTTGCTTTTCAGCCGAATGCTTTAACCACTGTTCCACCAGAGAGTATCTCATTAATCTTGAACACTGGAACTTTTTTCTATTAATTTATCAAACTGTTTCCATATCAATCCATTCTTGATCTGTGATGTACAGTTTGCTTTTGAGCCCGCTGTCCCTTTCAACATAGAAGCTGTTTTTAGATAATAGATGGAGTTGATTTCTAGGTGGGGTTTATGTCTGTCCACAAAACTCAGCAGATTCCTCTTGTCCAAGGCTACTCAGACAGACTTTCAGGTCCTTCCCTTTCTTTGGAAATGAGTAAGTCAGATAGATCAGTAGTGACACCCCCTGAATAAAGAATACTGGCTCTTACAAGGATGGATAAGGCTAATAAAAATCACATATCTAATATTTACTTGACACTTGTTGTGTGCTGGGTATTATGCTACACAGTTTATGTTAATTAAATAATTTTTTAAATTAATTTTCAATGGTTGATGAAAGTCTCAATCTTACGGAAAGTCTCAAATTAGTCTTAAGAAGTTAGGTAACTCAGCCAA